CCTGCTGCAGAAACCGGTCCCGGCCCCCTGCCCCCTCTCCCCGGCCCCCACTGGCACCCTGTTCCCTGCCCCAGAACCCACTAGCACCCCTCCCCAGAACTGTGTCCCCTGCTCCAGAATGACTTTTCTATGGGTCAGTGACCCCGACTTAAGGCAGAAACTTTTTGGCTGTCTAGACTGGCCAGTTTTTCTGGAAAATCAGCCACTTTTCCAGAGGTCCCGGCCCCCTGCCCCCTCTCCCCGGCCCCCACTGGCACCCTGTTCCCTGCCCCAGAACCCACTAGCACCCCTCCCCAGAACTGTGTCCCCTGCTCCAGAATGACTTTTCTATGGGTCAGTGACCCCGACTTAAGGCAGAAACTTTTTGGCTGTCTAGACTGGCCAGTTTTTCTGGAAAATCAGCCACTTTTCCAGAAAAACTTGCCAGCTGTCTACACCGGCCGCTTGAATTTCCACAAAAGCACTGACTTTCTACTGTAAAAAATCAGTGCTTTTTGCAGAAATACTATGCTGCTCCCGTTCAGGCAAAAGTCCCTTTTGCGCAAAAGGGCCAGTGTAGACAGCTAAGATTTAACTTTTCCATTACAAGCATTTCCAGAAAATCATGCTAGTCTAGATGTAGCCTTTGTGTTTAACATAGTATTTTATTAAAAATGACGCCTGGCCAACAAACCCGCAATTGGGGCCAAGCCCCCATCTGGCCACAACCACTCCTGCATTCCTCCTTCCCCAGCCCCTAGATCTGAGCCTTTCAAACACTGGAACTCCCTGCCCTGAGCCCCTCACATACCCCAACCCAAATTCCTGCACCCTCACATCCACAAGCCTGTGGCTTTCTTTTTTTTCCAACCCCCCCCCCCCCCCACCCAAAAGCCTGTGGCTTGCTCAGTATCCCAACTCTGCCCAGCCTGGAGCCCCCTCCCTGAGCCAGTGCCCCCTTCTCCACCTCCTCCTGCATCCAGATTTCCTCCCAGAGCTTGCATCTTTCACCCCTTCCCACACCCAAATCCCTTATTCCCACCACAGAGCCTACCCTGTCTCAATGCAGCAAGAGTCCAGCTAGACTGCAGGAGTTTTTCAGGATTCTGGAGATATCCCAAAAAAACTCTTCTGCATCCAGGGTTGCGTTTGTTCTTCCGCTTTTTTAGTGGAAGAGCAAACAGGCTCCTTCGGTCACCCCTATATTCCTCTTTCCACAAGGAATAAGGTGGCTTCCAAAAGAAGGGAGCCTACCCTGTCTCAATGCAGCAAGAGTCCAGCTAGACTGCAGGAGTTTTTCAGGATTCTGGAGATATCCCAAAAAAACTCTTCTGCATCCAGGGTTGCGTTTGTTCTTCCGCTTTTTTAGTGGAAGAGCAAACAGGCTCCTTCGGTCACCCCTATATTCCTCTTTCCACAAGGAATAAGGTGGCTTCCAAAAGAAGGGTTTTTTTTTTTCTGACATTTGGTCCAGTCTAGATAGGCCAAATGTTGGAAAAACCTCTTCCTACAGAAGAAAATTTTTTTTTAAAGCAGCAATATAAGGATTGGGGATAGCAAGTGATGGAGAGGAGGAGAATGGGGGGGGCTTCAAGGAAGGAGCGGGGTGGTAGATCTTGGCTCGGTTTGTCATTTCAAATGTGATCTTGGGTGTAAAAGTTTGGAGACCACTATTCTATAGGTTGAACCTTTCTAGTCCGGCACTCTCAGGACCTGATCAGTGCAAAACCAGAGAATTTGCCAAACCACAGGGACGGAAAAGGGGTGGCATTACCAACAATTTCCACTGGGCTCTTAGAAGACATTTAGGAGTACATTACAGCTAAATAACAGCATAGAACACAGAGAGTCAGGCCTAGTGGCAGTAAACAAACTTAAATCATGCCAGACCACGAATACTTCAAAGAATATGAATAAGAGCCTTCGGAAAAGGGCACTTTTTCCGGAGGATCGGGGCCAGTCTAGACGCTCTTTTCCGGCTTTTTTAAAAGCCGGAAAAAAGCGGCGGACATTTTTATTTAAATGCCGCGGGGGATATTTAAATCCCCCACGGATTTCCCTACGACGACTAGTGAAATTTACATGCCCCTTCCGGAAAAGGGGCCAGTGTAGACGTAGCCCTGGTCATAGAGTGCCAGACTAGAGAAGTTCAACCTGTGGGGACGCAAGTGCAGTTAGCAAAAACTACCCTATTCCGGGAAACTGTCTTGGTTTTGACAATCTTGTGGCTCTCCGAGATGAAGTAGGGCCACTCATGTGGTCTACTCACTAGCCTATGTTACCCCCTCACTGCAGTAATGTATGAGTCAACAAACCAGGAAGAAACCATGTTCACCACAAGTTCAGAAAAGGGGGTGCTATATAGTGAATTCATGTGTTACTCAGGCCACCTCTACACTACAGCTTCTGCCAGAATAGTCATTGCCGGTTGGGGGAGGGGTTAATGAGAGTGGGCAACATTTCTATACCAGTAAAAGCCCTACGCTAGGCACAGCTATAGCAGAATAAGGGGAAGGAGCTTACTTAGCGCAGGGTGTCAGTATAAGCTAAAACAGCAGATGTTCTTTTTCACACATAAGCTCTAGGCCACCTCTACACTACAGCTTCTGCCAGAATAGTCATTGCCGGTTGGGGGAGGGGTTAATGAGAGTGGGCAACATTTCTATACCAGTAAAAGCCCTACGCTAGGCACAGCTATAGCAGAATAAGGGGAAGGAGCTTACTTAGCGCAGGGTGTCAGTATAAGCTAAAACAGCAGATGTTCTTTTTCACACATAAGCTCTCTCTAAACGAGGCAGTTTGCGGGTCCACCTACAACCCCATCCTGG